CCCCAACTACTAGCGGGTAGTGGGCCACTAAATGGAGTGACGATCAAATTAAAAAAGCGGTCTAGGTGCGACCCGAAAGGTCCACACGACTAACTAAATAGTGGAAAGAATAAAAAAATATTATATGTTTCAATATTTTATACAATTTTTCATTCGGCACAAAAAACCACTTGACCGATTTTGCTCGAAATTTAATGAGGTCTAAGTTATATAATTAAGCGTCAAATGAAACTGGTCCGATGTCAATATCACTCTTTGTTTTCGAGATACACGAGGCGAAAATTGAATCCTAACATACATACATACATACGTTCATGTGAACACACGGACATCCTCTTAAAAACATACTTTTCGACACTAAAGACCTTGAAACGTAAAGATATATTAAAATTTCCTATTCGCAAAATCGGACCCATGACAATAACTTCCCACTGGGAAGTTAATGAACACGGAATGGGATGAAATGAGATTAAATATTTAAATTCAAATCCTTAAATATTTTAGATACGATTGGATTATTTTACCATTTTAGCCATAAGGCCAAATTTTTGACAATTCGTTTACAGCTTTGCTTGCTTTTTGTATATTATTACAGCCAAAAAATTAAACAACAGGCATAACAACAGCTAGCAATGAACGAAATATAAGCAAATATATTTGTTTATCTTTATACTTTAGTGTTTGTAAAATAATCTCTTAAAGTGTTACATTAGATATTATTGTGAAGTGTGAACCATGCGTGATCTTTGTGCTGCTTCACGGCCGACGACGGTTAGGCCGTACACTAAACACAAATGATAGTTTTTACTGTTACTTTTGTTAGATGGCGCTTTCCAACGATAATGAATATATTATAATAGTCAATGGTTGATTATTCTAATGTGTTGTAAGATTATAAATATATAATGAAATATATTATCTGTTGTATGTTATAACCTATAACAGCCAACTTTAGCAGGCATACTTTTTTTTCGCCGCGCCGTAGAAACAGAGTGGGATACTTCCTCTCCTACGCCGCGCCGGCTGTCTCTCTCTCTCCATCCGTCTTACGTATTTTCGATCAGGGTCACGTGTCCTGACGCGAGTTTAACATTTTTTACCCATTACAAAAAGTGTATATATAAATATGTAACGATCTACATATGTACACTAGGAGAGGTTTTGGCCGTCGACAGATTGTCGGACAATAAGTCGCTCCTGTTTTGTTGCTTGAATAATGGTTTGAAGTAAATTTTGATTCGTAAAAGTGATGCGATTTTGTGAATTGTCTGCGCGTGTGAACTATTAGAGAAAACGACGAAACAAGTGATTTGATTTTGATATAATCTCCCAAAAACTGTGACGTAAAAAATAACGCATCAGCTTATTGTTATGAAAAAATATATAAAAACGAAGATTACGAATGAAATGAAGCTAGAACCCAAAGCCGTAAAGCCAGTTAAATAAAAAAATATTGGAACACTATAGTCAACCAAATCTAAGAAATACCTTTTGACGTTTCACATTAATCATTCAGCAATAACTTTGCACATGCGTACTCACTAGATTTAAAATAACCATTTACGTAAATCCGAAGAATTATAAAGTTACCAATATTTCACTACAACGTGTATAGTTTTTATCACTAATTTAAATTTGAATCTTTCAAACAAAGCAAAATATTAAAAAATAACCAGAATCAACTTTTTGCACTTTACGTCGTTTCAATGATATGTCGCTATGTACATTACCGTAGTGTTTGGATGATGAAAATTAATTTTTATGCGAATAATCGGCAAAAATATTCCAATAATCGGTAAAAATATTAAAATAATCGAATCATTAATTTTTTTAATGTATTATTTGTTTAATTTAATTTTTTAAATTCTTTAAATTACATGAATCATGAATAAAACTAGTTTACTTTTTAAATTTGTCAACGTAAAATTGTGTAGACAAAAAAAAACTCATATACAAGGCCGCGATATAAAAACCACTACGTAATTTTAATATCCCGCCGTTTTGGGCGCTTACTATGCGTAATTTTGTGATTTTGTGTTTGTCTTCTTATTTTGTGACTCGGCTTTAACTTTTTGAACTGTTTCTTCAATATTCGTTGAAGCATGTGCCCATTTCACAAAGGATAATTGGGCAAAATGGCAGAAAAAACAAAAAAAAAATATTATGGATGACTTTGAAAGAGTCGTTAATTTTGCCCGCGTTATTGAAAATCAAACAATGACAGCTCAACTAGTTGCACTGAAAGTGATTGAATGAATTTATTTTTAATTTAGTTATAACCTTAAATTTTTATAACTGTGCCTCTAGAAATAAGCAGTACGTAGTACAAATACATAGAAACTGATAAGTCTTGTGTTTTAAAATATCCGTTTTTAATTTATTGTGATATTATTCAAACCAAACTGTAAATGATTTTACCTACTCTAAATAATCGATATCGATTTTTTTTGAGAATCGAATATTGTACGTTCCCATTTTTTGGTTGGTATGCCTGGTGCAATAATTCTGACAGCTGTCAAAATGTATTTCTTAGATTTGGTTGACTATAGTACATACGTAGTACCATAGTCTATGGTCTATGTAGATAATCTTAAAAATTAAAAATGGTTATAACTTTTATGTCCCGAGTTCCAAAAATCTAAGAATTTAAGAGGTGTTTGTCTATCCTACTAACTACCAATTAAAACATTCTAAAAATATTCCAAAACACGAAATTTTATTAGTGGTACGAAACTCCCATACAAGCCTGCCATTCCCTTTTATTCAGTCGCATTGTAGAATTACTGACTTAATAATATTATCGGAAACTTGTCTTTTATAATCGCTTTAACTAATATAACCAAGAAATTACAACAGATTAAAGTAGTTAGTAAGTTAACAAGAAAGTGTTTGTTAACAAGAAAATGTTCAATCAAATTTTCTTCTATATCGAAATCCATAAAATTACCCAAGACATCAGCATCATCAATAAAATCATCCGACGCAACTTTTCTTAAGAAATTAAACTATTTGTTGTACCATAATATTATAAAAACATACTTCATGTTGCATTACATATGTGTGATAGTGTCCGGCACTTAAAGGCACTCTTGATGTGGGTCTAACGCTGATGTCTTCCGCAAGGACTATGGTGTCCTGCAGGTCTCGGGCCTCGGGGTATGCCCCAATTACCAGTATTTTCCTCGCGGTCCACCACCACGGACCGGTCCTGGGGGCCTTATTTAGGCATTGTAAGTGTCGAAGTGTGGGTCTAACACATAGGTATAGTTTGTTTGTATTATAGCTGCACCACTAAGTCGACCCATCGGCTCGACCGTGGAAGGACCGCGCTCGTACTATAAATAAATTAGTTTTTAATTAAGTAATTAGTAGTAATTAAGTAATTATAAGTAGCAGCGTAAAATTATATTATAATGCAGCAGCATTGAAACGAAAATATATATAAAATTTTCCTATTCGCAAAATCGGACCCTTGACAATAACTTCCCACTGGAAAGTCAATGAACACAGAATGGGATGAAAAGAGATTAAATATTTAAATTAAAATCCGAAATATTTTAGATACGATTGGATTATTTTACCATTTTTAGCCATAAGGCCAAAATTTTGACAATTCTTTTACAGCTCCTTGAATTTTCTGAAAAAATATTAAGAAATTGTACCTTTTACTCAATGTTTTCCTTTGCCAGTCTTGTCAATGTGTATGTAAACGAACTGCATAGTAACAAAATAGTAGTAATTTTAGCAGCATAATAGAATTTGATATTCTGTCCATTGAATTAATTGAGGGTACAGCCGTGCGGTTGCGGGATAAGTAAATCTATCACCCTATTTCATGTCGAAGGGTCATTAAGACAGTAAAGTAGTATAAATTTCGTTGCAGGCAGTGGCGAAGCTAGTGCTCCAAGCTAAGTCAAGCCCAAGATATAAATTGATAAAAATATAGATTGTTGTTTTTAGCAGTTTTTTAAAAATACACCAATCTTGATCTGTCTCCACGCTTCAGTTTCATATTCAGTGCTGTCAAGGACGTGTTTAACAAAGCACACAGAAGGCATACCACTGCTAGATAGATTATATTACATATCAGCAATTGCATAGCTTCGGTGGCTTTGAAGAAAGCCGTTTGGGTTTGTTTAAGCGAAAGAAAAAAATATTTACATCCAATACAATACATGAACAAAAGTAAAACACGAACAAAGTACAAACAAACTATGTACAAAATTAAAAAAAATTATTTACATTCTAATGGACAATGGATAAGAGATAAGATAAGATAAGTGGAATCGTCTCGCTTTCTTATGGAAAGATTTAATTACGTCCACCTAAAATGTTGGTGAACGTTTTAATTGTACAAATAACTGTTTTTAATTGCGATAATTGATAAGTCTGAAATACACTCTTAACCTTGTGTATTATCTCAACAAAGTTTAAAGATTTCCTCTCCGACTATCACTTTAACACACTTCAATTCATCACAAGGAACACTATTATCCTCCATTTTCATTAAAAATCTTTAAAAAAGCATAAATTTTGAACTCGTAATATTAAATCGCTTAAGATAAGCACACAGAGTAAATAAACATTGAAACGTGAAATGAACTTGCAAACGTATTGCCCGCGCGCCTCCGCCACGGCGTTGACAGCTAGAACATTTTTTTTAAAACTTAAGAGTTTGGAGGGCACTCTTAAATCAACACTTGGTGGCGCCACAGACTTCCTATTTTGACAAATGTCATAGTTAAATGTTGACACTTGAAAGTAGCAATCTTTTTTTACAAATCGCTGTCGATTCGTAAGACTCGTACACGTTTCTGTATTTTTTTGGTTACTGCTCTACAAATTCACTAGCAACGTTGAGTTGAGCTTCAGTTCCTCCGTTATCTCGTCGAATCTTTGTGGTGCTGTTGATTCAGTGACTTATAAGAGACAGGACTCATTTTAGAGATAGAACTCATATTTTTTGGTGTTATTATCTACTAGTGCCGTAGGGTTAAATAATGCCTATTACCGTGTGTTGTGTCAACTCTTGTCTTGCCAAGGATATAGTAATGTTTTACTTTCCTCGAGACAAAAACATGCAAAGCCTTTGGCTTTCTTATGTTGCTCTTCATAGCCCTGAACTTCTTCAACTGTCATCGAAACAATTAGCCAAAAAGAAAGAAGAAAGAAGATTTGTATCAGGCATTTCGAACATCAATATCTTGATGGCTTCACGAGGAAATACCACGGTTATCCTACTCTACTGACTGAAGAAGAAATAGCTTGTGGAGTACCCAGTAAGTACGAAAATATCTTTCCCATTTAGAGCCAAATTTAGAAATATATTTGATAAAGACTGAATTATACCCGAGGCAGTGGTTTAAATTATTTATCAATGCAATATTAACCATGAGAGTAGAGTTTGAAGAAAATATGATACTAAATATATTGCATGTTCTTATGCAAAATTTTTTTTTTGGTTTTATAATCACTGTTTTAAAAGCTATCTTATATTACAAAATAGCTAAAGTGATATTTATTTCAGGTCAATCCATCACTGACTATTATGATCATACTTACTGTAAAAGAAGGCAAGGTATGGAAGAAGCAGCTCCTGAAATAATTAAAAAGCCAAAATATAGTAAAGAATACATGCTGGGTAAATATTTTTTTAATATTAGCTTGATATATATTATGTACACATCACACATATGTTTACCTTGAACAAATTGTCCGATTAAGTAAGTCCAACTTTAACCTAGACATCAATCAACGGATGCAACTCAGCTGGGCAGCGTGTGAAGATTATGACACATCTTGTCATATATACCTCAAAACTTGAAAACAAGATGATACAACCAGTGCATAATGCCATTGATAACATATGGATCTGAGATGTGGTCCTTCATCGCTGGGCACATTAGCTCAAGGTCACTTAATGAGCTATAGAGAGTTCTAATGATGATATATTATTTTTATTATAAATTGCTATATTTAATAAGTATAATATTAATATTAGGAACACACATAGCACATTCAGGTGCAAGATGTTTTTTCCACCTGGATTAATACAATAAGGTGGTGTGTATATCACTTGGTTTTATATATATTTTCATCCATTTTTGTATACTCCCCTTGATTTTTTTTTCTTAAAAAATTTAAAAAGTTTAAAGATTTTAACTATTTTTTGCATCAGTCCTCTATGCAAAGGTCGTCTGGGAGAGATCACTTTCAGAGTGACAAGAACGCTTGTTGTTCATATTATACTTTAGATTGAACTCTACTCATTTTCCTGTATTTTGGTATACAATTAAAAATAAAAATAAAGTTATAAAGTAATTATTTTAATTGCAGTTAATTTAGATGATTCACAAAATAGTAAAAGAGAAAATACTGGAGAGACTTCTGTGTCAGATGACATCACCATGTTGTCAAAGCCATCAACTTCTCAGCAAAGTTATTACATCTCCATGTCGCCAAAACCATCAACTTCTCAGCAAAGTTATGATGTCCCCATTTCACCAAAGCCATCGACAATTCAACACAGTAAGTTTATTTTAAATTAATGTAATGTTAAATGTTTATACATAATTTCATACTTTATTTTCCACTATGATCACAAAATACCTGAGCATCATAGTGATCTTTCTTTATACCAGATTGTAAAATAAGAGTCATATTAATTGTAATTTAACATGTAGTTTCCTAGTGTTAATGTTTTTACATACATGTGTACTTTTGTATAGTCAAAAGTTAGAACAATGCCAACAGTTAAATAAAAATATTTATTTTATATGAACCATTTGTAATACTGATTACAATATCACTCATACATATTTTTTTCCAGGTGATAAAAACAAATGTATTAAGCTTGTAAAAAGTAGACCTCGACTTGTAACCAATATTAACAACTTAAGAACTGCACTCAAGTCTTCAGTGAACGCGTAGCTGCCACAATGCAGTATACAGCAACTTTTTGTAAGTTAACTACTGCCTATTTTTTTAATAAGGATAACTATTCATATTTTAACTATGGTAGTCTATTAAAGTGTTTTTGGCGAGTTCATCACACACAGTCCACCTGATGGTAAGTGGTTTCTGTGGCCCATAGACATCTACATTTATCCTCGATTACGAATCAAAATGCAGATGCGTTGTCACCCGTGAGGACTAAGATGGAATGACTTGTTTCCAGTAAGAAGGGTCTCCGGTTCTCTACACTCACCATACGAAACACAGCAGCATTAAGCTGCTATTTTACGCTGGTATTCTGTGTCCTTCCCCAGTCGAGCCGACCCATTCATGCTACAACTATACCAGAAATATAGCTACAGCATGGCTCTACCACGTATAAAAGGTAAAAAGGTGGTTTTCTAGTTTTCTATATGCTAGAGTTGCATCAAGAATTTCATCCTTTAAACAAATCAAATACTTTATTTGCTATTGGTGTAAAGGTTTTAGGATAGTTATATTATGTACTTACAACTAAATGGACTTTTTCAGCTTCTACTTAACAAAATAATGTCAATGGGATTCTCAAATATTACTAGATTAAAATATATTAATAAATATAACTAATTTTAAATTAATATTTTCTATCATTCCATAAAACAAATGTCATAATGTAAAATTTTAATTTAATACAATCATAATGTCAACAAACTTAATATTCACCCACAGAATAGAAACATTTTTGAAGGAGAAAGGTTTCAGTTTTTTATTAAATAGTTTTGCTTTTCTGTGTGTTTATTTGTACCAAGAAATTACATATTATGGATCTTAAAGTTGTCTTTTGATGAAATGTACTCTGCTACGATAAATTAATAAATGATCTTAATTGATGTCCATTTGCTGGATGATTATTTAATCTATGAATATGTTTTTAATTATTGACAAACAAGTGCACAGCTCATCTGATAGTAAGTGGATAGATAAGTTGTAATTCATAAAGATAATAAGTGTCCAGCAGGCCTTATTATATTAGTAGGTATTTACAAATTATTTTATTATTTTTATGCTTGATGCTGATATATTTTTTGTAGACAATCCTTGAAATTGTGAGTTTCTTATACTTTGGTCAATGTATAACATTATGGGCTACCATGTAAAAAGCGATTAATGGAATATTGGGTTTGTGATTGTGTATGCGTAAGGCTAACTTTATGTCCTTTTTTAATTTCCTATGTCACATCCACAACTAAGACAAATCTGATGATACCCAAATATTAAAATCCATCAAGCTGTTTGGGCTACAGTATGATCCCATCAATGCCCATCATATTGTTTATCATATAACTTTTGATAGTTTAGTTTTTACTTCTTCTCTGTAAGATTTGCAGTCTATGAATGTGTGTTTGTGGCAATTTAAATAACTCAACTGTCTCTAAAGATGAACTTTGGGGTTTAATGTTCATTTGGAGTTGGAAAGATTTAAATAAAATGTAAATTGATTTTTCTTGTTTAGTTATTATTAATTTCATAAAAAATTATTTTGTAATAAACATGAGTAAAGAATGCCTGTTACATGTAAGTAAAAATACATCATGTAAAAGTAATTCTAATTTCATGTTTTTTGTTCCAGCTCAGCGACATGACGGAACACAAATCAGTGAAACAACAAAAAATACAGCTGCAGCAGTTGCTTTCTTTGACCAATTGTTCGACAGTTGCAATGGTTCGAGGTCTGGTAGGGCTCCAGGAAAAATAAGAGGTCCAGTCAAACTGAATAGTGCCCACAAAGCATTTTGGATTGAAGCCATTAAGAAGTTTAAAAAAATGCATTTCATTCCAAAAAATTCTTTAGAAAAAGCTACAATAAAAAATGTACCAACATTAAACAATTGGGTTACAACACTAGAAAGCCTAATAAGAGTAAGTGAAATAATGCAATCGGAGGGGGTCAGTTTCTTTTATACGAGAAACCTAAATCAAGACCCCCTTGAAAATTTCTTTGGCAAAATAAGAGCATATAATTATAGATATACCAACCCCGATACATTTTCGTTCCGAAACTCTTTTAAGTCATTATTAATGACATGCTGGCCATCCACACAAAAAATTTTAATTGTGAAGATGATATGGGGAGACCATATTAAACATAACAACTTTATTGAATGAGGAATTTGCTTCAGATGAACAACCAGTTCCCGATAGTAATGATAATAGAAACCTTAGTTGTTCATCTGAAGTAAATTTATCAGGAAATATGGTCTCCTGCATATTTGAAGAAAAAATAAATGTAAATGCGAGGAGTTACACTTCAGGATATATTATAAGAAAACTGTGTCAAAATAAATGTAAAAATTGCAAAAAAACATTTTTAAATAATGAGGATCAGCAGCTTAGTGTCCATGATTAATTTAGACACAGAGAACGAAAGCACCTTAAAGGGAAAAATCTTATGTACCCTAGTACAAGATTTATTGTAGCATTTTCAAAATTAGTTGATTTAAGTAATGTGGTATTAAATAATACTTGCCACAAAGGAAATATTATTAAAAGTATATCTGAAAAATTTATTACTCAAAATAATTTGGAATGGATAGGCTGCCAAGAGCACCATGACAAAATCAAAAAAAAAATTTTTACTTCTTGGGGCTAAAATCCAAGTATTTCACTGGTGCCGAACAATAAACAGAATATTGAATGGATCGCATTGTGTAATTAATTTTAACGATGCACCATATATTCAAAAAATAGCACATATAAAATGGTTAAAACAAAGAAAATATAAAAAATGAAACTTGCAAATATGTTTTTTTTTAATTCCTTTCCCTTATTAATATAACTAATAAAGAATAATGAAAATAAAAGAAATCGATAAACTCAATTCACATCCCTATCGCTGCAAAATCTATCGATATCATGGATAATCTATACACCCCAACACTAACAAGGTAGCCATCTAGCGGGAAAAAGCTTGCCCTCCAAACTCGCTACGGCGACGTACTGTCCTATCTGTCTTGTACATACAACTTTATAATTTGTGGCCTCCGCTTTTAACAAATTTATTTCCAAAAGCCTGGCTTTAAATCTCTATACTAATTGCTATATATACAATCGTAGTTATATTTCATTATAGAATATTTTGCCATAGGTTAGAAAGAGATCGGTCGTCTTCTCGAAAGCCCCGTAAAAAGCCCTCGCGAGCGAGGGAGACAACTATTAGCTCTACTAAAACTCATTTTTATGACAGCAGCAGTATCGCTAAGGCAATACGAGGTCATCGGTCGATATGTGTCGAACAGTGGAGTGCGCGGGAAATTTGAAATAGCTTGAAACATTTTACGAGTTATTTTATTAGATAGATAGATAGATAGAAAATTCTTTATTGCACTCAAACAAAACAATTTGGTACAAAGTCGAACTTAATGCCGAAAAGGCATTCTCTGCCAGCTAACCTTTCGTAGTGTGGTGAGAGCTATGGGAGTATTTATTCATACTATTCAAAACGCATTATATAATATTATGTATATGTTAGTTTATACATATATACACTTATACACATACAAATATATATATATATATATACATATTTAAACAAAATATATACTAAACCAATAAAGCATACAATATAGTATACGAAATTATAATAAACATAATCAATAAAATTAATCAAGTAATTTTAAATAATATGCCTCAAGCTTACGTTTAAATGTATTTATTGAAGGAGCATCTTTTAAATCTCGTGGAAGGTTATTCCAAAGTGTAATTGATGATACCGTGAAGGAATCCGAGTAGTATGCAGATTTATGCATCGGGATAGTTAGAGTTTTGTTGGTCATCGAACGGGATAAGCTTAAATATGAAAAACGCTCTTTTGGATAAACTGGGGAACAAGGATTGTGAAGAATACCATACAAAGTGGTTAGAAGGTGTGTGTTCCGGCGAAAACGGATGTCGAGCCACTTAAATCTTGAGCGAAATTGTGATATATGATCAAACGTGCGTAGGCCAAAAATATAGCGTATGCACAGATTGAGCAGACGGTCGAGTTTGCTAAGCAGCTCCTCAGTTATATCTGGATAGGCAATATCGGCATAATCAAAAATAGGAAGCAACAGAGAGTTGACTAGCGTAACCTTGGCCGTCTGAGGAATAAATTTTTGCCAGAGCTTTAATGAATGCATAGTTCCAAAAATACGTCTCCTGACCTCATTAACCTGTAGCACCCAACTTAGATCGTCAGCCAAAATTAAACCAAGGTTCTTAACTTGCCTAACATATTCTAAATCTACACCGTTTAGAGTGACCTTAGGTAGATATTGATAGTCAAGTCGACATGATTATAACCTGTGTTTTGGCAGGATTTAATATTAGCCCATGACATCTTGCCCACTGATGAACTACAGCAAGATCAGAATTCATTCTGTCAACAGATGAATTTAGGTCATTTAAACTAAAATGCTGATACAGCTGGACATCATCTGCGTACAGGTGATACTTGCTGAAATTTATTACGGAAACAAGTGCATTGATAAACACAGAAAAAAGCAACGGAGATAAAACACCGCCTTGAGGAACACCAGCAACAACGTTACACCAATCGGAGAACTTATCATCAACACGTATGCGTTGCCGGCGTCCCCGAAGATAGGAACTGAACCATTGTAGAACTGACGATGTTAAATTCAGGGATTTCAAAATTGCTAACAGGGTGTCATAGTCAACACAGTTAAAGGCGTTACTGAAGTCCAGAAGGACAAGAAGAGTGAGTTGACGATTATCCATCGCGAAGCGGATATCATCAGTTATTTTAATTAAGGCCGTGGAAGTACTGTGCAGAGATCGGAAACCAGACTGATAAGGATTAAAGAGGTTGTGTTTGTTTAGAAATTTTGAGAGTTGGCCATGAACAACCTTTTCAAGAATTTTGGAGAAGAAGGAGAGGATAGATATTGGCCTATAGTGGCTGAAATTAGTAGGAGAGCTATTTTTGGGGACAGGAA